AGCAGCATCGACAAAGTAAATGAACAACACATGGGCAGCGGGCAACAAGGCAACAAGGCAAAAACAGCAGCATGCCAGAATGCAGGGAAGCAACAAGGCAGGCAGGCACAACGGCAGCCAGACAGCATGGCGAGCAATGGGGCAGCACTACGAGAAGCAGGCAACAAAGCAACAAGGAAGCAGGGAAGCAAGGCACAAGGCTTCACCGACAAAACAGCCAAACTCGAAGGTGAACAGGCAAGCAGCACAGGCAGACAGGGGAAGCTAAGCGAAGCAGCAAGGCAGCACTGGCAAGTCAGTCCACTTGTACCAAAGCAGAACATCACCTACTCATACCACAGGTAGCACTACACACTGCAGGCTCGTGCCACCATTTGAGCCAGGGAGTCACTCCAACGAATGTCTGTCGCCACTCAAGCAACACAGACACAAACATCCGGTATAAAACAGGCCCCAAAATAGTCTTACAGGCACTTCGAATAGAAACCGAGTATTTGGCACTTTTTTAAATGTACTCAACCTAGGTACTGAAAGACACACGGGAAAATGGGGCAAGCCTTCCTGCACTTTGGCACAGAAGAGAACACGAAGGGAGTAAAGAGGTGGACAAACAAACTATGTGAAGTTGTGTGTGTCTGAGAGAGAGAGAGAGAGAGAGAGAGAGAGAGAGAGAGAGAGAGAGAGAGAGAGAGAGAGAGAGAGAGAGAGAGAGAGAGAGAGNAGAGAGAGAGAGAGAGAGAGAGAGAGAGAGAGAGAGAGAGAGAGAGAGAGAGAGAGAGAGAGAGAGAGAGAGAGAGAGAGAGAGAGAGAGTTTTGCCCCAGATAGAATGCCCGGTCATTATCGCAGCATCAGGGCTGAAAGTTGCCCCAAATATGGCTATAGTAGCCGCTATACTGACTGGGCATTCTGTTCGGGGGAAGGCAGCAGTGTGATTATGCCCTGAGAAACTTCACTAGCATGAACAGATAGAGAGAGAGATGACTGATTAGTCATCGCAAACCTAGCACTCATGCAGCTCATGTGGGTGGATACACGCTTGCAACTGTTGATAAGAAGATCGTGAGTTTGAATCCAACTGCATACAAATCATACAATGAAGTTAGGGGATGTACTGTTTCTGAGAAAGAAAAAAAAAAAAGCCTCGCACACTTGAAATGATGAAACCTCAATAATCACAATGCAGCTTAGAGGTTTACAACTTTATATTTCTTTAAATTCTTTTTTTTTTTTTTTTTTTTTTTTTTACTTTACAACTTTACATTTCGCAGCATAAAGTTTAACCACATTGTAACAGTGCGCCGCTAACGCACGCATCAGACCTATCACACAAGCTGAAACTCTGCCAGCACAGGTGCAGCCAGATACAGAGTCTCTGTCAGCGACTGTCACCGTGTGCAGTCAGCCCGACTCAGTTGCACAGTGGTGATTCACAGTGAGGCAGCCCAGTAAACAGACCGCGCAGTTTGCATTGTGTTGGGGTCCATGTCCTCCATAATTTTTCTTCTTTTTGGTAGTTTTTGATTCCATTGCTCTGTCAAAGTGCACCTGGGGAGCTGGTGGCCTGGCGGATGACCTTCAGATTCTTCACCACAATGCGTACTTACTTATCAAGTTGCATTCTTACACAGGCAATGGAGCAAATGCTACCGTCTTCCGGCAGAATAGATCTGAATGGTCATTATCGCTGTATCGATACTGACAGCTTCCCCAAACGAAATACAGCGACAAATCGCCGACAATGAACGTAAGTTCTATTCAGGGGAGAAGACGGTCATAAGGATAGCATCGAGTTGACTGTCAAACGCAGGAAATGGCGCAAATGCTAGCAAGGCAAGTTATGGTGATTCACACTGGCACATAGTACCCAACTCAAAGCTCAGAGATATGGAAACCCAAGAACACAGTTCAGATGCAAACTCGCTTCAACAGGCTATGGTGCACCAACACCTATACATCCCAACTCTCGTCACTGTGTCCAAGACCACTGTTCGCTCACACTTCAACTCTGGATCACCCTGGATATCCCACACGCAACCCACTGTACACTCGCACACGCCTCTCTCTCTCCTATCAGCTATGGCGGTTATGGCCGCTGCCTACCCTATCGCTATGGCCAAGCTTCCTTCTTGCCCACTTCGTCTTCGGGCCCACTGCCGACCACCTCGCACAAGTCGTTGTAGCAGCGCTTCCGCATGGCTTACACAGGAATGAATGAATGGTTGGGCGCTGCCTCTTGATTTATACTTTAGTAACTCGTTGGTCTGCCCCTCTCCACTAGGCCTATGGTGCACACAGTCCCTCATGGTACTTGCTAGATTGGACTGGGACTGCTGGACCGGTACCGCTGACCGCATGGGCTTGCACGGCCAACTCAATGCAGTCGCACTGCCGACGTAATGCATCTGGGCTCACCACTTGCCCACTTGCCTCTGACTAAAACGTGAGGCAGCTTCGAAAGGCCACTTCCGGACCTTCCGGAACTCTGAGGACTTGGCCTTTCGAGTATTGTAGCAACTACGACCTTGACCTTTCAGGATTGCAGCAGCTACGACCTTGACCTTTCAGGATTCCTACAGCTACGACCTCTACAGGGCTGTGACTCCTACTTAACAGATCTACAGATCGAACCCCTACCATTACACAGACCTACGACAGACAACAACAACTCTCAAAACGCAGGTCACGGGTTCAAACACTCGGGGTTAACACTGATACTGTGGAGGCATCAAGGGGACTGTCGAATACAGGCAATGGACCAAATGGTAGTAACTTAGTAAGGCAAGCTGGGGAGGCATCAAGGTGACCATCCACTGCGGAACATATACTCTCACTGCGGGTGCTATTTATAGATGGCTATTTATGGATACTATACTGCCTTCCCCTGAGTATAACACAGTCATTATAGCTGCATTTGGGGCAAGTTTCAGTCTAGATACAGCGATAACTACCATTGACCAAATTTCAGGTGAAGACGCCGGTTGTTGACAACTTGACACTGCAAAGAGCAGTGTGGATCTGATGTCGATAAACTGCATCTACAGCCCTCTGATGTCATCCCAGCCATCAGAGTGCTAGTTCCTGACGCTGTGAAGAATCCGAAGATACACTGCCACCCGTCGATGAGCGTGTGTTCCATCTGAAGGAAACAGTCAGTGGATATCCAAACAAAGGCAAGATTAGAACCCAAAAAAAAAAAAAAAAAAAAAAAAAAAAAANAAGATTAGAACACAAGCCAAACGCCACCCCGAGAAAAGAAAAAAAAGGCAAACTCTTGCTTAAAAAAATGGGACTTTGGGGGATTCAACCTTCCTTGTTCTCGTAACAGTGTCGTTGTGTAACTACTTCCAACTACTACCCAAAGGAGTTAAAAAAAAAAAAAAAAAAAAAAAAAAAAAAACAGAGTTAAACCAGCAGTACATTTCCCATTTGTCGGCCGCGGGGCACTGCGCACCGGCCCAAATATCAAGACTGGCTGCCGATTCTATTTATCGGCAGCCGCCCTTCCGTTTCAGGCCAGCGTGTTACCCGGCGCGCCTCTGAAAAAATAGCTGGGAAAGGTACTGGTGGTTTAAAGGCCAAAAGTCGCATTGCAAGGGAAAAAAAAAAAAAGAAAAAAAAAAGCAGTCGCATTGCAAGTATTATTCTAGCCAATGTCCTGCTCAGAGCCCAACATAGAACTGCAGTCAGAGTCATATCCAACACCGAACCGAGTCCTGGCGGACGTGCTACCACGGTCCACGATCCCATACCCATCCCTACCGTCTTCCCCATCGCACCTTCATTTTCACTCTATATGCCCAAAAAGATAGCTTGTATACATTCATTATCAGGATTAGTTATGTTCAGGGGAGCAGGGAAAGATGGTAGCCGAATGAGCGTCAGGCGAAGCAGCCCTCGTTGAAGCATCCATACCCAGAGCAGCCTAATTAGATCCACCCCGGTACGACTCGAGCCAAAGCCATGCCCAAAGCGCAAATTTGACTAAGTAATTACTGCCTAGTCAGACTCCTGTCCCAGTTCGACACAAGGCCTAGTCAGAGTCCTACGGCACTCCTTCACGAGGCCTACGTGGTCAAGAGTCCTACCCCAGTCCAACACAAAATCCGTGTCAATGCCCAAGCCCATCCCAAAGTGCAGATGACATCATGAGTCATGACAAGCCCTCCTCGCAGCACAGCTCAAAATTTTAACTAATATGAAGTTGAACTTGTCGAAGTACTGGTCCGGGCTCCCCAACCCCCAAATCTGACTTCTGCCGTCTTCACCTGAATAGAACGACCGGTAATTATAGCTGTATTTAGTCAATTTTAGCGTAACTTTCTGTCTATGTAGAGCAATAATGACCGGTCGTTCTATTTGTATGAACACTGTGAAGACTTTCACGCGGTAGTCATTAGTCGTTACTCTACGCAAGGCCAACCTTAAATAGGGCGTAAGCCTTGAGGCCGTAAGCCCTTCCTAAAGCATCTAGTGCCCAAGCCCTTCCTAAAGCATCTAGTACTCAAGCCCTTCCTAAATCATCTAGTAGTACCCAAGCCCTTCCTAAAGCATCTAGTACCCAAGCCGGGCCAAGCGGAAAGCCCTCCCTACTTGGTCAAATGCAAGTCCCATGGGACTCCAAGGAGTTCCAAACTCAATTTGATATACATCTACGATTCAGAAGGCGAAGCTCGAGAACTTGGAAAAAGTTCAAGTGTCCTTCGGGACCGAACAATACAGGAAAAAGTTCAAGTGTCCTTCGGGACCGAACAATACAGAGAAAGAGGAGATTAGCATGGCCCCTGCACATTTAAGGTAAGGTCCAGTTTTTTCAGGAAATGTTCGAAAAGCTGGAGAAGCTGGGGTAGCCTGGGTAGGCTCAAACTCACACCAGGGTGACCAGGTAGAAACCTAGTCAGAAGCAAACGTCAACCTCAAATGAAATGGAAGTCAAGTCAAACTCCGATGGACTGGAAGTCAAAGTCAAAGTTGAGCTCAAACGAACTGCAAGTCAAACTTGACCGCAAATGAACTGGTCCGGAAGTCAAAAGTTGAAAACTTGAAACTGAAGTCCAAGTCAAACCTCGATGGGCTTTGGCTCTGGTTTCCTATAATGCCGCATGGTGGGGCCCAAATCGGACGGCTTGAATGGGGCGTATTGCCCATAAGGCCTTGGAATCGCCAGTTCCTCAGGCAGGTAGGCATTAGGCCTTTGCTCAGCTGCCGTGAAGGTGGGCTTGTTTCTCATACCACCTTCCAGGACGGGCCCATCGTTGCTCGTGAAAGCTGCTGTTCTCCTTTCTGCCAGTTCGAGAATGATCAGTCTCTCACGCTCCATGCGGTACCATTCTCTACTTGCGTCCTCTGTTGGAGCTTCCCCCCTCTCCAACCTTTTGGCTGCTTCGAAGACGACATTCTTCAGGTCGTCCCGAGTCTCTGCGAGCCTGATGGCAGTGGCCTGACACAGGGACAACTCCGCCACCGTCGCCATTATCTTCCTTATGGTGTCCATCATCTTCTTACGACACTTGTTGGCTTTCCCGGCCAAGAAGATGGCTTCCTTCCTCCCATCGGCCGCTTGTTGCCTTAGCTTGGTCGATAGCTTGGTGACCTCTTGGTAGACCAATTCCCGCTCCATCAACTGCTCCTTGCGATCTCCGAGCTTGTCCTCCACAGACTGCAGGATCGTCGCCAGCTCGTCGGCCTTAGGGGTCTTGCCTTCCAGTTGCCGCCATCGCTCCTTGTTGCTGGGGTTCTCCAGCAGATCAGAAAGGCGAACGACCTCCGCCCTCGCCTTCTCCAACTCCTCCTTCAGCGTCTGGATCTCATGCTCGACCTCCCCGACCTTGGGTGCCCTCTTCCTGGCCACCCTGAGGGAACTTTCAAACTCCGCTATGTGCGCTCTTAGCACTCGTATCTCGTCTTCTCTCTTCAACATCTCGATGTCACTCTGCCTGTGCACTTGCCCCATGATGTTCAGCCTCTCGTACAGGATGCACAGCTCGTCGTTCCGGTCGATCAGCGTGATCCCTGTGTAGTTCCTGCTCTCCACCTGAATCTCGTACTGTCTCTTCACGTGGAGCATGGCCCTCTCCGCGACAGTGATTATCCCATTCAGTCGGTCCATCTTACTGATCTGTTCGTCCACTATCCGCTGCTTCTCCTGGAGCACCATTCCGGACTTCGCTAGCTCGGTCCTCAGTCGCTCCCTTTCCAGCAAACTGGCGGCATGCTCGGCCTTGGCCTTGGCCAGCAGCCGGTGTTTATACGCTATCTCGTTCCTGAGAATGTCTATCTCTGCACCAAGTATTCGCAGCTTCTCCCTCATCTCTGCGATGGACTGCGAGGCGGACTGTATGAGGGTGACGAACTTGTTCCTCTGGTTCTTTACGAGGTCGTACAGCTGCATGAACTCTTTGAACCTCAGGTTTCTGTCTCGGAGCTTCTTCTTCAGATCGTTGATGACCAGATCCTTCACTCGAATCTTCTCCGAAGCTTCCCTTTGAAGTGCAATCTTGGCCGAGCAGAACCTGCTGATCCGTTCCCTTTGGCTGGCCAGATCGGCGATGAGACGGTTGGTGCGTCTTTCCTGCATGGCGAGGGCACCCACCTCGCTCTCCAGCTCCTCCACCAGCGCCACGCACTCCCGTACTTGTGCTGCCTTCTCCTTGCCCAGCTCCTGCTCATGCAGGAAACTATTCATGGTGATGTCAACTTCTTTCTTCAGCTCGACCACGTGCTCCGACTGACGCTTCCGCTCATTCTCCACCCCTTGGATCTGGTGGAACACTTGGTCCCTGATCATGTTCAGCATCGGCAGCGTGTCTTGTGCCTGCTTAAGCATTGCTTCTGCCTTCTTGTACCTCCTTAGCGCACCGTCCTTGTCCTTCACCCTCTGCGCCAGCTCCTCGGACTCCCTCCTCACTTCGGCCACCGTACTCTTCAGCAGCATGTCCACATTCACCCGGTCGGCAAGGTACTGGTCAGCTTCGATCCCAGCGATCTCCACGTTCTTCTTGATCTCGTCCGCCCCCCTCTCCTTCTGCTCCGCCTGCATCTTCACCCTCTCATGCTGTGTGTTCGCTCTCTCCATCTCCTCCGTCAGCTCCTTTATCCGTATCAACAGCTTGGAATGCTCCACTTCGTGCTCCTTTATCCTCGTTGCCAGCTTCGCCTCCTGCGCCTTGTACTGCTTGATCATCTGGTTCACGGCCTCCGTCTGCTTCTTGTACTTGTCTGGCATGTTGGCTTTCTTCTCCATCGAATTGGCCTCCAGTTCCTTCTGCAGTCTCAGGCTCTCCGTCTCTTCTATCGTCCTATCTGCCCGTTCGTTTACCTCCTTAACTTCTTCCACCAACTTCTCAATCTTCTCCATGTTCTCTTTCAACCGCATGTCCGTCTCTTCAATCTCCTCAGTTGCCCGTCGGATCTGGGGGACGACAGCAGCAGCATGCTCCTTCTCGATCTCTTGGAACCTCTTCTGGTGCTGCTCCTTGATTCTCGTAAGCTCTGTCTCTTCCATCTCTAACATCTGCTCTTTCTCTCGGCATATAAGTGCCTCGCTCTCGGCTTGTTCGCTGTCCTCTCGGAGCAGCTCCAGCACAGAGACGCCCTCTTGAGCCCGCTGCTGCACTTTCTCAGTCTGTTCCTTGGACTCCGCCAGTCGTTTGTTCAGCACTCTGGCCTGCGACAAGAGGTCTCGATCGCTGGCCATCGTTTCGATAAATGCCCTGTGCAGGTTCAAGTACTTGTCCCGAGCGAAGGCTGCCCGCTCTTCGGATATGACCCCTTCCATTATCAGATCGTCCAGCTCCTTAAGGGCCACACTGTTCGCCACATCCTCCAGCTCCCTGTTCTCGAACCTCTCCTCCAAAGTTTTTTCATCCTCAAAGTCAAGCAGTGGGGGGATTTTATCAGGTCCTTCCTCCTGCGTCGCCGGCGGAGGGTCCGTCATCGTGACCTCCTGCTGCTCAGCAATTTCGTACGCAGCTTGTTCCTTCCCTTCTGTACTGCAGCCGGGTTGCGTCCTACTTTGCCAGGGCCGACGCTCGGCCCACGTGTCCTACCGACTGTAGGTAGGTAGATAAGGGGCCACCAAGTGAAGACGGAAGACTAGATGAAGGGATCATTGGCTCCACGGTGAGGCAGGAAGGACAAATGGAGAGAGGGAGGGCGAGGGCGGGGGGGAGGGAGGGACACAAAGACGGCCATAGGAACGATTCCGACGGGAAGGGGGGAGAAGGAGGAGAAGAGGAAGGGAGGGAAGATGGGAGATGGGAGATGGAGATGGAAGGGAGGGAGGGAGGAAAGGAAAGGAAGGGCCAGGGGGGAGGCTGAGAGGGAAGAAAGAACCGAGGAAATGAGGAAGAAGCAGACGGAGGGAGGGAGGGAAGGACACAAAGAGCCAGAGAGGAACATGTCAGTCTGTCAGACAATAGGGACGGAGGAAGGAGGAAGGAGGAAGGGAGCAAAGACTGGAGACGAGAGGGAAGCAGGGAGGAAGAGAAGGAATGAAAGGGAAGGGCAATAGGAAAAAAAAAAACTTCATAGGACGGAAAGAAGGAAGGAAGGAGGAAGAAGAGAAATGGAGGAGGGAACCAGAAGGAGAGGACAGAGGGACAGAAGAAGAAGAGGGAGGTAGAGGGGGCAGAGTAGGGGGAGGGGGAGGGGGAGGGGGGGGGGGAGGGCGGGGGAGGGSGGAAAGAAGGAGACTGCGCCTACACCTACCACCGGTAGGTAAGTTCCTGCTGCTTCCTCTAAGACGTCCACTACAGGCCGAATGATAGGGTGGGTCGGGGGAAGGGGGGGGCGGGGGGAGAAAAAGGAAGATTAGCATGTCCCTCTGGGCCTCTGCACATCCAAGAACGAGACGCACAGATCAGGAAAAGGGAGAACGACACACACACACACACACACGCACAGAGAGAGAGAGAGAGAGAGAGAGAGAGAGAGAGAGAGAGAGAAAATAGAAAAAAAAAGGGAGAACGACAAGGTCGCCGCTTATTTACAAGCAAGGAGCATGTCATCATCACGATGCTGCTACCAGTACCCAACCACCACCGCACCGCGCCCAGCTACCGTCTTCCCCCGAACATAACGCACCCTGAAAATGAACGTATACATGTTTCGGGCCCAATACGGCCGAAATGAGGGTGCGCTGTGCTCGGCGGAAGACGGCAGTTGCATCTGGAGTTCGAAAAAAAGCAGCAGCATGTAAGGTGCCAACATCTTCCCCCAAACATAAGGCATGGCCACTAGAAAACAAATAAAAAAATAAAATTAATAATATATTAATAAATAATATAATAATAATAAAAAAGGCATGGCCACTATACAGACCTAGTATACTCGACCAAATTTCGGGCCGAGTACAGCCTGTACAGGTGCAATGCCCATGCCTACTACTCTGGGGCAAGCCAGCATTGCTCAGGCAGAGGCATCATGACTTTTTTTTTTTTTTTTTTTTTTTTTTTTTTAGAGCATCATGCCATTTTACTTGCGAACAGGAGCGAACTACGGCCATACCCACAAGTGTGATTTCCTTCCTGCATGGATCGGACCGCTTTTAGAGACAGGCCTCGATTTCCTTCCTGGATGTATCGGGCCGCAATGACGTCCACAATGTCTCTACATGTACGTTGATAAAGTCCCCGTGTGAATAGGGCTTAAATCTCGACCCAATCTAGAATCTAGAAGCTTGCGGACATTCATTATGTGAGGCATTGTGGACGTCATTGCGGTCCGATACGTCCAAGAATCTAGAAGCAGGGTCCGGAACGTTTGTGAAAGCTTGTGCGAAAGGTTGGAAAGAGAAGAGGTCCGGACATCCGTCTCCTTTTTTTCTTTTTTTTTTTCTTTTTTTTTGTAACTTTGCTTGTTATTAAAACGGACTAAAAATAATAATAAAAATAAATAAATAATATAAAATATAAAATATAAAAATAATAATAATAAACTAATAATAATAATAATAATAATAATAAACATTAAAAAAAATAAAAATAAAAAAACGTATTAAAACGGACATCTGTCTTCCCCCCCCGGCAACGCACCCTTATCATCATAACCTTACCTTATCTGGCCTCCGACACTTGTGCTATCCGGAATCACAGCTTGCGGACATTCATTATGTGAGGGTGCATTAAGCTCGGGGGAAGACTGACGGTCGTTGAAGTGGAGCCCGACAGTCATCATCCGGTTAGGTGGGCGAGAGCCAGGCCTTAAAGAATGAGAGCATGCTCGCCCACCCTTAAAGAATGAGAGCATGAGCATGCTCAAACTATTGGTAGTGCTTTGCTGCTAAATGTGTCTGACAGCAATCACATTCGCACCCGGATGCATCGGACTTGGATGCCTTCTGGCGATCTTGCTTGCGCCTCTTGTATTCGATTAGCTTCATGGGACAGCAACTTGAAATTCATTTCATGTGGTATCATTCGCTTAATCGCTTGGGCTTCAAGCTAGATCGCTGCGCTCTTCTGTTCGCTTGCTCCTTTCTGTCTCTACCGCTACTCTTTCCCTTTCCTCAGTCGTTCTCTCTCTCTCTCTCTCTCTCTCTCTCTCTCTCTCTCTCTC